TCTCTACTCCTAGTATTATTAAGCTAACGACGCCGAGATGCCGGAGTAATAGAAGGGCTAGCTTAAGGCTTCTTCCTAGGAGTCTATATCTTCCTACTCTTAACTATAGTTTAGTCGGCTAAGTTATACTCCTACTAATAATTGCCCTAGAGACAATTGCTATAAGCTTCCTACTTAAGTCCTCCGTAACGACACTCCTTAAACGGGCTAATCGTGCGGGTCTTACGACGGTATCTATAAGCCTGCTTAGGCGCTCCGCCTAGCGCTTAAGAAAAAAGAGAGCCTAAACGCTACTATAGCAAGTAGTTAGGCATATAGCCGATATTCGTGTTCTATTTAATAGGGCGAAGGTCGTCTAGCTAATATAGGTATAAGGCCTCGATAATAGCGCCTAGCTTATAGATTTCGTACTTCTTAAGGCGCTCTTATAGCCTAACGCGCCTATTAAGAAGGATTAGGATAAATATTACCTTACGCATCTAAGTATCGGTAATGCGTAAGAAGCCTAGGATACTATCTAAGCTTATCGTACTCGGCTCTAAGAGAGTTACTAACCGTATAAGTAGCCGCTCCGAGGTAGCTACTAGATTAAAGCCGCCTTAACTACGAGGCCGAAAGACTAAGAGACTATCGTATTRCCTACGAAAGCTTCGGGGGAAGTTCTCTARGGAGCGGTTTAAGAGGGGATTAAAGGACGATATCTTATTATTTCCCTAGCGAAGGCTCGCCTTACTTACTTAACCGCTAACTTAATTAAACCCGAACTTCTCGTATTCTATACGAGTAGCTATCGCTACCGCCGGAATTACGGGTACTAGCTTCCGCTAAACGCTTATACTACGGCTTAGAGTGCCGTAACTAGGAGATTAAGGACTTAAAGCTTTCTTAATCGCCTATAGTTCCCTCTCCTTCCGGAGATCCGCCTTAGAGAGACTTAGACGTAGCTTAGAAGTTGCCTTACCTAGAGATAAGCCTAGAGTAGCGCCTAAGTTATAAGAGCGTAGAGAGCGCCTTAAGCTTATAACGATATCGCCCGTATTCGCCGTAGGTCGCTTTCCGAGTAATTTCGCGCTAGGGGTAACTAGCGGGTCTTAACCGTTACCCTTCTTGCCCTTATCGCCGTCGTCGCTCTTCTTAGATCCCTCCGCCTAGCTACGAGTTATACGCCTATCGCCTATAGCTTCTTAATATATATAGCTAGTATAAGAGAAGACGTATATAATAGATAGGGGAAGGGGAAGTATTAATTAAGGGACTTAATTAAGGAAGGGGAAGATAGATATAGATGCGGAGGAGAAGGTTAGTAGATTAAGAGGGCGAGTTAATATATGCCCTAGTAGCTCTTAAGCTGCCGGACATACGTTACGCCTTAATGCTCCCGCATCCCGTATACTACTTCCGCTCCGCTACGCTATAACTACCTACTTAAGCCGAAGTAGCTAATCGTATACGCTATATACGTGCTACCCTAAGCTGCTAGCTATATAAAGGATATAGCTTATAGTAAGGTAGAAGTAAACCCTACGTCTAAGCCTTTTACTTAAGCGATAGGGCCCTATAAAATAACCTATAGGGACCCCTTAGGTCTCTTAAGTAACTCCTATAGTTTTAAGGGCAAAACGACTTAGTAGGGGARGATGTTCTTAAAGTCTCTACTTAAGAACTAAGYATATATGCCTAAGGCTTAAGTAGCTACGTAACTCAGGCAGGACTATATAGCCGAGGAATTTTCCCTTAAGTAAATTCAATTAAAGAGTTCATCCATTTTAGAACAATTGGTTTGGTATGAGCTTAGTCACACTGTTTCAAACTTCATCTCCGTCTTCTCGCCTACACCAAACAAAACCCGTTCAAAGCTAGGTATCATGGAAAATTGCCGACAGTCGTGCGAGCCCTCCTTTGACATGGAGTGAAGTTCAGGTTTCTTGCAGAAACAGTGCTTGTGCTTGTGGAACAATACTAAGGAATTCTGGAAACGGCACACACTCCACCACCTTTGTTGGAGAAACATTCCTTCAACCACATCAAATCCACCAAACACTCCTCCCTCATCACGAGATAACCATCATCCACAATCATGTCGCAACCAAGAGAAGATCCCGCAGAAGACACGCTCGACGAGCTCCTCCACACATCCGCTCGCATCGAAGAACTCCCCTCAGACGACCAGGATCCCGACTTCTCAGACATTTCCTCAGGAGATGAAGTGGAATTCACACTCCCCGGACCTCCATTCCCAGGCTCTCACCTCCCCAAAAACCTCCCACCTTGGCTCACTCCTCCAACTCTGCATCTCTTCGCCAAACACCCGACTCTAGAAACCAAAACCTCCACAAGCCAAGAGGAAACCACAGCACAATGCCTTCCCCTCCTCCTGGACCCCTCTCAACTCAAACTCCCTCTCAACTCCCACAACATCCCCCATCTCAACCGCACCGCACACGCAGCCTTCCTCCGCAACACCCTCAATCCCCTCCCAGCACCCTACGTGGCAGCCGACGCCTCACGACCCTGGCTCTTCTACTGGGCCCTCGCAGGCCTCTCATTCCTCGACCAAGACGTCTCCTCCTACCGAACATCCCTCATCAACACCGTCCGTCCCCTGCAGAACAGCACAGGAGGCYTCGGCGGCGGCCACGGCCAATACTCCCACTGCGCAGGAACCTACGCGGCACTACTCGCCCTCGCCTCAGTCGATGCCTTGGAAGTCGTAGATCGAAAGGCAATGTGGCATTGGCTCGGTTCCATCAAACAAACCTCGGGAGGATTCCGCATGGCAACGGGAGCGGAAGTGGATGTTCGAGGTGCGTATTGCGCCATGACTGCTCTAACCCTCCTCAACCTCCCCCTGGAACTCCCCGCAGACTCCCCAGCTCGCGCGGCGGGAATGACATCTTTCCTCGACGGATTGGGGGAATGGGTAGGCAAATGCCAGACATATGAAGGAGGAATCTCAGGAGCGCATAACAACGAAGCACACGGCGCCTATGCGTTTTGCGCACTGGCATGTCTGAGCATCATCGCCCCTCCTCAAAGTTCCATCCCAAAGTACCTCGACGTCCCATCCCTCGCGCGCTGGTTAGCTTCCACGCAAACACGAGGGGAAGGAGGTTTTGCGGGTCGCACGGAGAAATTGGTGGATGCTTGCTATAGTCACTGGCTAGGAGGTTGTTGGGCCTTACTCCAGCAAGCCATGCAATTACCTCGAGATAAAGATCTCTGGAGTCGAGAGGGTCTGGTCAGGTATCTTTTATGTTGTGGACAGCAACCGGGCAAGAAAGGGGGCATGAGAGATAAACCTTCCACCAGACCGGATGGATATCATACGTGTTACTCATTGGCGGGATTGAGCGCTGCTATGAATCGATATGTGTATGTTGAGGAGGAACAACAACAACAGCAGGAAGGCATGGCAGGCGGCCGATTGGAAGCTGCCTTTGCATGGAAAGCGGAAAGTGCTACGGAGGAAGAAAGGAAGCAGTGGGCTTTTGATGAAGTGGATGCTGTGAAAGCTGTGCATCCCGTCTTTGTCTTGCCTATGGCTGTTGTTGCGCGGGTGAGGAAGCAATTTGAAAAGGGCGGCTTCTGAATAGTTAAAGAGGATGGAATTTTTGCATTGACCGGAAGGTTGATTGGTTTTGGTCTTGGTTGATACCCCCCCATAGCATAGCATAGCATAGCATAGCATAGCATGATGATGATCGATCGAATGAATGAATGGAAGTCGAGGTGATTGGAGAAAAAAAGACTGCCTGTATTTCAGGAAACCGCATCAGAAGGGTATCACAATAAAACCTCTCTATTCCAGTCCAGTCCGCCGAACTCGCCCATCACACAAAATTGAGCCTCCGATCCTCTAATAATCCCTAAGAACAAAAAAAAAAAACGCCTCCGCTACCATAAAAAGAACAAGACGCAAATCTCAAGATACCTTACTCCATCAAGAATAAGTAGTCCCCATCATCTATACTCTCTTCGCCTTTCCACTCTCAATCCCACTGTAGCCGCCATTCTTCTTCTGTCTCCACTGCCACTCCAGCAACACAGGCAAGAAATGCCACAGATCGAATTCCGGCCACAGGGTCTCCAGAAACACAATCTCCGTATCTTCATGACATTGCCAGAGCATGAAATCGGATAATCTCTGCACGCCAGAAGTGCGAATCAGGAGATCCAAAGGCGGTGCGTCGGAAGTATACGTGTTCTTCGTCAGGGTATCCGCGGTGATAGATTCCGGGTCCGGAAGTCTTTCCGCTTGCCTTTCCGTTCGCGCAGGTTTCGTAGGGAGCATATTGGGAGAGGTCGAGTGGCTGGTATGCGAAGACACGGGTTCCTGTCTGCTCGCCGTATCCTCATCATCATCCGAATCCGACAGCACAGACTCTTCCTCCTCCTCCTCCTCCTCCTCCTCCACCGCCTCCTTAACCACAGGCATGGCCCGAATATTCCTCTTAATATGCGTCTCGCTAAACGCCCTCTTCCCCACCCCAGGCCTCCCACTCTTCCCCTCAATCTCCCTCTCAGGTTCACTCCACTCCCTAGCCGTCTCCCTCACACTCCTCGTAATTTCCTCCCGTCCCGTATAAGGGAAACAAACATTCAAAACAGCCCCTTCATTCCCACTACTCATCTCCACAGCCCTTTGCATTTCCCTCCTAACATCCTCCCGCATCAAACTCTGATCCCCCAAAATCTGCACCCGAGCTCCATATCTCTCCAACAAAGCCCCATGCTCAGACAACTGCACCAATTTCGTCTTGGCCATATCCATCAACGCATCCACTTCATATCGCGAGCGCTTGAAATTCTCAATGCTAAACGCATAGATCGTGACGACTTTGACGCCGGATTTATAGCAGACTTCGAGGATGCGCGCGAGAGCTTCAAAGCCCATGTTGTGGCCCTCGATGGTTTCCACGCCGTAGGAACGTGCCCAGCGCCGATTGCCGTCCATGACAAAGGCGATGTGTTGGGGTATGGGCCCGCATCGTAGGGTCGAGATGAGAGTTTGGCGGAGATGTTGCAGGAGGAAGGAGACGGGCGGGAGGGAGAGGGCCCAGTTGCGGAGGTGGGTGCCGTGCGCGTGGGAGGACATGTTTTGTGGGGGAGGAGGAGTCGATTATGGTTGGCTGTCACTGGTGGTGTTTCTTTTTTGGTAGGTTTAGATGTAATTCCGAGGGGCGCGGAGGTTGATGGAGAGACGGGAGATGCAATACAAATTATCGCTCGTGACACGTCAGACTCATGAGGAGGAGMAGCAGCAGCAAAGCAGCTGATTCAGGGAAATTTCCCAGGTCGAAGAAGGAATTGACGTGTCGTTCCGCGGCGCAGCTCCTGGGCATTTAAAAGCGAGACAAACAAGCGACCAATGTTCAACCAAAGTTGGACGCTGCGGCTGGAGGAAACGCGAGGCCTCCCCCATGTCATCACGCCAAGTGCGCTCGGAGGTCCGATGCCGAAGCAACGTGGCAAGCGAGGGATGGATGGATCATGAAACGGGTATTGATATTGAGGAGTCAATCAATCACAAAAGACGGACAATGGCAATAAGGTATATCTCAAAGTAAGTGATGCTGGTGAAAAGCATGACTACCTTCATGTAGCTATCACAGAGCGAGTCATTTCGCAAGCCTAGTCATCGGTTTGTAGCGTTGAGACCCATTGCCATTCTCAATCATCCCCAAGCATCACAATGCCAATGCCATTTCCTTGTCGAGAGTCATATCCCGATACCATATACGATAGAGCCCTCAAGGTCATCTCAATGTACGAATAACAATGCCCCTCCCCCATCTGCCAACGCAATGCAATGCAACGCAACGTAATGCAAGAGAATCAAGCAATCCCCATCCTCCACCGATCAATGGCATCCCTCTGTCTGGGATCCAAAGGCAACTCCATTCCATTCAACCCCATTGGCATCCCCATCGGCATCCCCATCGGCATGCCATATGCTTGCTGATGCTGTTGTTGCTGTGGAAGCATCCCCGGGTACCCCATCATCCCAGGCATTTGCATACCCGGCATGCCCATTCCCATCATCTGCTGCTGCTGTTGCTGCTGTTGTTGCTGCTGCTGTTGCTGCGCCATGGCAGCATAATAAGCCTGAGCACTTGCTTGCTGCTGCTGCTGCTGCTGTTGTTGCATTTGCATCATCTGCATCTGCTGTTGTGCTTGCGGAGTCATCATGCCAGGCACGGCACCCATGGACATCATCGATGGTTGGTGCTGACCATACCCCATCATTCCGCTGGCGGCACCGGCGGTAGGACTGGCGAATAGGCCTGCACCCACAACAGGAGACCTTCCAGCTCCCATCACCCCCGGCGCGGCAAAGCTCTTCCTTGCCATGCCACCCTGCTCCAACATGTTGCCCATCGAACTGGTCCTCATATTCGTCTTCCTCAAGTCCTCCTTCTGTCGCGCCTTCTCCTGTGCACTGGCTTGCAACAGACCTCCCTGCGCAGCCTGTCCCTCCCACGCCCGAGGAGAGACAGGAGCCTTTACAGGATTACTAGACAACAGGTTCGCCATACTATTGGTGGATCTCAACGCGGGACGCGCAGGAGAAGGAGCTCCAGAAGTGGCAGCCTGGGCAAGCTGTAAACGCGCACGTCTCTGTCCCAGAGTCTCCTCCTCAGCCGGCTCGTCTGCCTCTTCTTTGGCAGCGGGCGGCGGTGCATCCTTCACATCCAATCCTCCAAACTGACTCAACACATCCGCGGAGAAGGTACTGATTGGTCGAGATCCAGGCTTGTTTGTGGAAATCACATCCTCCAATGCCCCGTCGAGCTCCTCCTTCGTCTTCATCCTCCTGGCTCTCTGGCCTAAGGTTTCCCCTTCTTGCATCGAGTCCTCGTCTTCGCCCGTCACCTCAATCCTCATCTCCGACGGCCTTTTCTGTGGTGGAGGTCGTCTCGCTACGACCTTGCCAGGGTTTAATCGTTCGGCCCTCTTGCTCAACGGCTCCGAATCCTCCATCTCTCTCAACTCCATCAAACCCAGTGGCCGCTTCCAATCCCTCTCATCCCCTCCGAATCTACCCTTATCCTTTTGCGTGGGATACAGCACACCCAAAGGAACATCCTCATCCTCGTTGACCTCGCCTTCCAGCGCTCTCTGATGCGGATCTTCCCACGCCAGAGCGATCTTCTGCTTCTGCCGCTTCTTCTTATTAATGGCTTCCACGGCGTCCAACTGTAATAAAGTACTGTGCATTCCATTTGGATATGCGACCGCYGCTGTTCTCGTACGATTCTTCATCTGGGCTTTCCGGACTTGGAGTTCCGCCAGTAAAGTGGCTGGTTGAGCAAAGATGTGCTCCGTGTCTGAAACATCGGAGAGTGCTTCCTGATTGTTGAAATCTTCCGCGATTTGTTCTCCATCCGTGTAAGTTCTTGGTGGTTGTTGGGAATTCGTTTGGTGGAGGGCATTCTCCTGCTGCTCGATGGTCATGTTGAATGATTGGCCAATGACACCGGATTGTGTCTCTTCTGGGGACATCCCCTCCAACTCCTGTAGMGTCTTCTCCCTCTCAAGAGCATCTGCCAGACTGAGCTGACTCTTTCTCTTCTGCAGTTTCCTCCCTCCGCTCTCACTCATACCATCTAGCATCTGACTTCCACGACTTGAAGGTCGGGCTGCTTCGTTTTCAAGTAGGTCCGCGCTGCTTCGTCGGAAGAAATTGCCAATGCTACTGCTACGTTTCTTCTTCAACCTGCCTTGAGATTCATTGGAAAGCAGAGTTGTCGATGTATTCTTCCGCGCGTGAGCAGGCTTCTCCATGGCATACACACTCTTTCGAACATCTCCTGCAAATGGGTGATCTGTAAAAGCAGACACTGGAGCAGTCACCGACGCTGCAAGGATATCATCCAGTGTTGCCACTGCAGACTGATGCTTCATTTGCACGTCGTGTGGCATGGAGGGCTGTTCAAAGTAGACGGACGCTCGAAGTTGAGGTGGGAGGTTCCTCATATTTGCAACACTCATTCGCTGATTAAGCATTCCTCGTGGATTGGGCGGAGGCTGTTGTACCAGTGGTTCTGAAATGGAGCGATTACGTGTGGGGTCTTCCGTCTCATCGAAGCTCAATTTGGGAATGGTTGGCGCCGGTTCTTCCTTGGGCATGTCCATCATGTCATTCAAGTACTGGGAGCGCCTCTTGGCTTGCACGCTTGCGGCTGGAAGTTGGGACAGCCTCTTGGGCAGGTTCAACATTCGCGGCACGGGAGCGGGATAATAGACCATTCCCGCTTCTTGCGGTGAGGGACCTAGGTTGTAGGCAGACATGCGACTACCAGCTCCATAAGATGTAGGTCGTGCACGCTGGTCTTGTGGTTGTGGTGTGGCAACGGCGTTGACATTGCTCCCCGAGGATGAGCGCAGCACTGAAGTAGCGTCCAGCAGACTGCCAGCAGAAGTCCGGGCAGATACTCGCCGCACCTCATTCCCATTCTGATCCACCGCGATAAATTCTTCCGTGTCTGGGTTGAAATGTACGCCATCAAAGTCCTTGAAGGCCAGCTCGGCCTCTTGGAAGGTATCGGTGGAGTGAGGGCGGTCTGGAACGTCGGCAATGTCTCGAGAGTGTGGTTGATACTCGGGCGATTGCTGAAGGTAATGCTCGGACTGTTGCTGCTGATATGCCTGCTGATACTGCTCTTCGGGCTCCGGAGTGTGGGGAATGGTCTGCAGCTGCTCTTCAATCTGGCTGGCCATTTGATCGTACCGCTGTGCGAATGAGGACTGTGAGGGCTGACGTGACATGTTGTTGTCTTGTAGATAGGAGAAGGCCAGAGAAGACTGTGACACTCTCCTCGACACGGCTCGTTCCTGCGAGTATTGCGAATACTGAGAGGCGGCGCTTCGAATGCTAGCCGAAGGGGCCAGCGGAGAGTCGAGCGGACGACCTTCCTGTRGAGGCTCAAAGCCGGTGGAATGTATGGGAGGTTCCATTCCCATGCCCATTCGCGCGCGCTGCTGGGATTGCGACCACGAGCCCGCCGAACGCACGCTTTSTACGGGACTCGTGATTCCCCACCGTGCATCGTTGACGGAATTGGCGTAGGAGTTTGACGTGGCGCGGGATCGAATGCTGGAGATACGGCGCGGACGACTGGAAGGCGAGGGATAGTTGTTTTCGGTGGAAATGGGAGGGTATTGCGGCGGTGGATATGGGTGTTGCTGCTGCTGCTGCTGCTGCTGTTGGTACAGACTGCTGCTTTGTGATGCCGATCGGCTCCGGCTTCGCTGCTCACGCTCGGCCGACATGATGCGACGAATGTGGGAGCCAATATCACTACCCGCGGCGCTGGCAGCAGAGGAAATGTCTTCAGCCTCCCGCTCCAACAAGCTGATGTCGATACCCAGGCTCGGCTGGGGTGCCGACGCCAACACCATCCTCGCCCGAGCCTTGCCTTACAATCCCGGGAGGTCTGGCTGGTTGACGAGTCAGGATGGAAATAGACGTCGACTTGCCGGCATGATTGTGGGTGAAATTGGTGAGGCAACACCACCACAACCGGACGATGTATGGAAGGTAGGTAATTAGGAGATAGAGAAGGAGATCAAGATGAACGCTTTACTCCCACACACACACACACACGCGCACACACGCACACCCACTTCCACGCCCACCCGCCTACCCACACTTGACGTGCACTAGCAACATTCCCTGCTATCGTTTGGCCGGAAACGAACGAGACCATCGTCCAGTGAGAAGACGGATGATCGCCAGTACAGCATGTATGTATCCATAATTAGTGTCACACGGCTTCAAATTAAGTGTGACTTTTCACACCCGTCGCTCGGTGCTACAATAGGGTATCTACCCCCTCTCACTCCTTTTCAACGCCATCATCATGAATCTGCTTGGACAGCCATTGAACACGTTTGCCGTGCCACATTTCACTGCCACCCCCCACCAGTGCGCCGTGTACCAAACAAACCGATCGTCCCGCTTCGGCAAACGGTGAACCTTGTGACGGGAGCAATTCTGGATAAGCTTCGGGTTCCGCGACTGGCGGCACGCAGAATTGGCAACGTTAAGCGGAGGATTGGCCAGAGTCTGTTGTAAAAGTCTAGGCGTGCTCATCTTCTCATCATTATTATTAATATAGATGACTGGAAACGGGTCGGTGACACGCGACATGATCCAACATGGAAACGTCTCACAAATGCCCCTGGCTTTACAGATCTTCTTGATAGGCTCCTTACATGCTGCATGCACGTCACATAGAATGGTAAGGGTATACCGGCAAGTCGGTGCAAACGCGCGCGCTTCGATTTGGAAAAATGTCAAATTTGAACGGGGCTGGAAAACGTTTGAAGGAATATTGATCAAAGTTCCATCAATCTGGAGTCATCAATCAATGTAATAGGGCCTCACTTTCTTTCACTCAACCTCATCCTAACCTTGGTCACTACAGCAATGCTCATGTCGGTCTCTCCTACTCGTCGTCAGGTCCACAACGCACTCGATTGTCGACTCTCGCCTTTGGAATCGAGGCTTTCTCAAGCGCCATCAAAGCCGAATGAATGGTCATCTTTTCACCAACTTTCCGTCATCTCTCTGTGTGCTATTGTTGAACGAGAGGGAGCGACGAGCCTTCGATTCTTGCTCCACATACCTTATCCAACACGTCGTCCACGAGAAATCCCCAGACACCTCTCCAGCAATCGCGATAAGAGCTTTGCTTTCCATCACCCATATTGGAAATTCCTCCTCACGATACGCCTCCACTAATCCGTCTCAAACAACTCACACACCACCCTCGCAAAACCTCAACATCACAATGCCTAACATCTCTCCTCCCAAACCTCCCCACCAGCAGGTCCACCACCTCGCATTCCAAAAGAGCTCATAGGTAACCCCAGACTCTGCACCCTTATCCCCAACYCACTCAACGACACATCGGCCACCCCGACGAATCCATCGCCCGTCTCCGGGAGGCGATTCGCAGAGTAATGTACACGTCTTGGCACRATCTAACCTGGATTTCATGGACGAGCTACCTTTCTCTTTGACGTCGACGCCATGTCTACTGCTCCACTTCCCGCTCCTCCCAAACCTCCTGCTCCTCCCAGACCTCTTTCAACTCCTCCAATCCCACCGATTCGACGCACCGTCGCGGCTGAGGAARCCGGACAGCTGTCATGAAGTTTACGTTGCAGGTGAGAAAATCTCGCAGCTACTTTGTCAGGACCAGATGAAGCATTTTCACCATATTGCATGTTTGGACGATTGGCGTGAGTGTGGGGAGCTTCAGGATCGGTGTGAGTCGATGAGGTCTATCTCGAGTAACGAAGGGATGATCTTAAACTGTAGGTACGTTGATCTCTTTCTGTCTTTCTTTCTTTCCTTCTTTCCCTTCCTTTTTTTTTCTTTTCAAACAGTAGTGGCTGCTTGTTACCTAGTGATGGATCCACCACCACGGACGAAATGCATGAATAAACTCATCTTCAAAATTTACTACATCACATCCTCTTTTCATTTTCACGTCTTTCCTGCTTGAATAGCCAAGCAACTGTCAAATCTTCTTCGGCGCAGCAAAAGTGTGTTGTAGCTTCTCCCTCCTGATCCCCAAATTCATACTTCAGCCCATTTCCAACCAAAAATCCCCCGGCAGCATAATCTACAGTGATATGACGAGACCTGCACTTCCAGCAAAGTATAGAAAGACGCAAACTCATTTCATTTCATTGCATCATTCATTCAGTGGTATATATCCCCAACGCCAACGCTTCCATTCCACAAGAGAACCCTCCATCAAACCCAGAACCCAGAACTCATGTAAAGAGAATCCACATCATCACACTCTTTAAAAGCCCCTCTCATCTCCCCTCCCCACACCACCCCAATGATTCCATCCCTGTCCCGGCATGCTGCCAGGTTTCTGACCCCGATGAACAGGATGCACACTCCCACTCACCCCAACCGCAACACCCGCACCAGGAGGCGGTCCCATTCCCGGATGAAAATCCTCTTCCCTCTCATCACTGCCTTCAATGTCAGAAGGTTTCCRATCGGGAGCCCAGGGTGATGGCTCGTCGACATGTCGTCTAGGGACTCCGAGATCGATATGTCCGTCATCACCCGCGAGGAATTCATCATTGGTGACGGGACGATACGAGGAGCTACCCGTGTGAGCGGGAACTTGCGCGTCGTGGAGGAGACCCGCTCGATCCTCTTCCGTGGTCGCTGCTCTACCGCGACGTCCATTACTGCTGGGTCCTACTGCTCCTTCCGCCGCCACGGCATCCCCGGCCATGACATACGTGGGACCCATGTACCCCGTCTCCCCATCAGCKCCGAGCTTCGCGGCGGCGGGTCGATAGCTGACGTCCATGTGTCTCTGTCGCACACCCACAAACATCCATCGGAAACCTCGCGCGCTGGCTTTGACAATATCCCAAGGATTGAAGGCGTCCGCTAGGGCTTTGATACCCATGGGACCGCCTTTGTATTGTTTGGGACCACCGGTGGGGTCGTAGCCGGCGGTGAGGGCGTTGTGCTTGTGACTGTAGGGTTTCCAAGGGTAGGCGAAGATGTGCAAGACGGAAAAGAGGGACATTTCGATGATGAGGATGACCGAGGGGATTCCAATCTTAATGTCCGAGTAGCTGAGTTTCGGGGTGGGTTGTAGGGGTCCTCTTGAAGATGCGAGGAAGGATATGACCATCTGGACAAGACAAATTAGTCAAGATGTTGTGAGATGTGGGGAATTGTGGGCGAATACCGTCTGCCAGAAGGAGAAGAAGATGACGAGTTTGATGGAGAGCACTTTGATGCCGGGTTTGTGCTCTGCGAGGTCCGTCTTGAGTTGAATGTAGAATTGCACCACCATGAACATTGCCACGGTGACGGAAAGACACTCGAAGGCCACTGTCCAGATGTGGGCGAATGCAGGAGAGTAGCTTGCTACAAATGATCAATAATGCAAGGTCGACAAACGAAGAGTCTTGAAATCTCACCTGCGCAATATCTTCCGAATGGCTGAGTAGCGACCGATACAATGGTGAAGAGTACGCGAATGAAGCAGTACTGGAAAATTCCCACCCAGATGACCTGCAAAGCAGTCAGCAATTCGTCCAGAAGAACTCCTCCCACAACACATTTCCAGCATGTGAATGCAAAATCACAGCTCGGCCATATCCCGAAGAACAACACCTCCCAAAGGAAACATCTCTCCCCGCCTTCCTCAACAACCCTCACAAAAACAACTCACATTAAACCAAGTCAACCCACTCCCCGGCCTCCTCAAAATCCCCCTCCCCTCCCCACCCGTACACCTCTGCAACCCAAAAACCCCCCAAAACCAATTCACCGGCACAATCCCCCTAAAATACACCTTCTGCGCATGTAAATCCGGCGCGACATACGCACACAGCAGGGCAAAAAACGAACTAATCGCAAACGCCTCATAACAATCCCTCGCAGCCTCAAAATAAATCGCATGCCGGTAATAATAAAATGAGAGGAAGGATACGACGGCGTAGATGGGGATCATGAAGAGAATTCGGATGATGTGGCGTTGTTCGCTGGGACGGGAGTAGTGGGTTGCGTGGCGGAGGATTAGGTAGAGGGAAATTAGGACGGAGAGGAGGCCGAAGATTGCGCCGAGGAAGAGGCCTAGGTGGTGGAAGGTTATGTGGGCGCCTATTAGGGGTTCTTCGTTTATTATGGCGTCTTCGAGGGTTGTGTTGCATGTTGGCATTTTTGTGGGAGGGTGGGTGCTTTGTTTCGCTCTCGTTTTCAACCCCCCTCTGTCTCTCTCTCTCTCTCTCTTTAACTCTTTCCTTCCTGGGGTCTCTCTGCTGGCAGCCTGATGGGTGGTTCGAGGAGATGTTCGTTCAAGGTGGTGATTGACTGGTAGATCGCGTGCGGGAAGTTCGGTGTTATGTGGTTCGCGATTTCGTGGAATTCGTTTCAAGGCGTTCCTCGTATGGACATGTGCGATTCCGAGGCTTTGTTGAGCATCACAACACGCTCGTGCTGTAATTCGGATACGTAATGTGTGATCTGGTTGAGGAATGTATGTCGACGCAAAGTAAAGTCAAGCGGTTGAAACGTGGAAACAAGACAGGACAGGACACCTCAAGACGTTGTGAAGGGTCAACAACGCACGGATCACCTCCATCCATCTTAACATCTAAGCCTCTGACGGATCAAAGCTTATTTTCCATTTCTTATTCACTTTGATGAAGAGCTTGTTGCTTTGCTTGGTGTTGCGTCACTTGGAGATCGACACGACGAGGACGAATGATCCATGCCACCCTTCATTACAACACCATTCGTATTATTGCAGACGCCTGAAGAAACAGCGCTAAAGAAGATAAATCGAGAACGTGGCACAGTCACAGCCGCGATTTGGCGTCATTGCGCAGCGGCTGCGGATGTGGCTTACGCGGTGTACGGATGTTGTTCGAACCATGTGAAGGACGGGAGGAGCGACAAATTCTCGTCAAGACTGTGTTTGGAGGTTCATTCATTCCCAGTTCCAATTCAATCGCCTATGGACGGACGGACCACTCTGCTAAACACAAGGCATGAAAATAGGTCATCATAAAACGCAGACTCCAGTCCATAGCAACAAAACGCTCAATGCACTCCGCTTCGCTGTAACGAATTTACAGCTCTCTCAATCTCATCAATTCTGTCCTGGTGCGACACCCACTCTCTCCTTGGACAGAAGATCCACCAACAATGGGCTAGGTCGGCTGTCGAGTCCTCCCTTGAGGACATCCTGGCTGCCCTTGTACTTCTTCACGCTGTCCAAGTAGGCGTCAAACAGGTAGCTGCTGTCCAATGGACCTCCCTTGGCTTCGGGGTGGAATTGTGTGCTGAAGATGGGGCGAGAAGTGTGAATCATGCCCTCGTTGGAGCCGTCGTTCAAGTTGGTGAAGTATTCCATAAAGTCACTGGGAAGGGTGGTTGGGTCCACGGCATATCCGTGGTTCTGGCTGGTGATGTGGCACTTGCCCGTCCTCAAGTCGAGGGCGGGAATGTTGTGAGCACGGTTACCGTACTTCATCTTGATGGTGCGAGCTCCAGCAGCAATGGCCAACAGTTGATGACCCAGACAGATTCCCATGATGGGGATCTGGCTGGTGTTCATCAGCTTGCRAAGGTTGTCACTGGTAGCACGGCAATGGGTTGGGTCACCGGGACCGTTGGAAATGAAAACACCGTCGAAGTGGTGGGCGGACTTGTGGATGGGGTAGTCGAATGGCAGGCAGGTGACGCTCGCGCCACGGCTGACAATCGAACGGATGATGTTCTCCTTGACTCCACAGTCGATGAGAGCGACGTGTGCGGTGCCATTGGGAGATGGGACGTGGAAGGGTGCCTTGGTGGAAACCTTGCGAACGAGGTTAACGTTGGCAGGGTCATCATAGGCCTCATCCTCATCGGCATCGTACTCTTCACCGACGGTGATTTTGCCGAGTGAAGATCCCTCCTCACGGAGATGGGTGACAATAGCACGAGTGTCGACACCGGTAATGGCTGGGACACCCTCACGGGCACACCATTCGGAGAGAGACTCGACGGCCGTCCAATGCGAGTATTGCAGTGCTGCGTCAGCAACGACAATGGCACACGYTTGGATGTTGGGACTCTCAAAGTACTTCAACAAGCCGTACTCATCGCRCGCACTCGAGGGTACGCCGTAGTTGCCGATGAGAGGCTGAGTGAAGACGAGAATCTGTCCACGGTAGGAGGGATCGGTCATTGACTCGGGGTATCCCACCAAGGAGGTGGTGAAGACAGCCTCTCCACTGATGTTGGTTCGGGCACCGAAGCTCTTGCCGTGGAAGATGGGGCCATTCTTGATGGTGAAGGTGGCCCGCTCGTACGACGGCTTGGTCGAGACTTTCGGTGGGGAGGGGACGCGAGGAATGCCATTGACGACCGTGGCATTGTACCGGACCTGACGAAAGGTCTTGGGCACGCCCGTCTGGAAGGATGGCTTGAAGGAGCGGGCGAACATGGCAGTGGCCATGGTGAGGGTGTTGTTGGTGGGTGGGTGTTGAAGTGAGTGAGTGAGTGAGTGGAGTGATGGAGTGTTTGATTGTCTGTCCCCGATAAGAGGGTCGGGGTGAGGGTTTAGTTCACTGAAGCCTTCCACAGGTGGTCACTGATGTAGTCTGTCAATGGCATTGCAAGTCAGTATTTGTCGTGGGTATGAAGATCTCCCATCCTATCCGCGTCGGTGCGCAGATGTTATCGGGGCGGTGACGCATATCGTGGACTGACCTTGCGAGGTGAATAGTGTGGGAGCTGTCGACATGRAGTCAACTGAACCCGTTGGTGAGGGAAGATATTCTTGGGGGTGGGCGACGAGGGTCGGGTGTCGGGGCAGATCAGACCTGGGATGTGCAACAATTTTTCTGATGCTGCGTGGTAGATCAGTTCGTCAGAAGTGGAGGTTGGTGGGTTGGAGTGAAAGAGACTTGACGGCCTGCAAAATCCACACAAAGCTCCATCGTTGCGAGACCGGCAGCGCTCGGACCATCCGCTCTGAATCATCCGCGCCGACACCACGCCGGACGAATGAAAAACATTGCTTTTGCTTGTGCTGATAACGACGAGGGCACAGATAGGTTCCCACCATCGACATTCCAGACCGACAAGCAAATTCAGCTCGAATTAGCCTCGTACCTGACGATGATGACGATGACGCCAATGGCAGTCTTGACTTGGTAGCAAAGAGATGTTGATTGTAAGCATCCCAGCACCCCAATGGCTTTGATTATGGCCAGAAATTGAGCCAGGCTACATGCTTGCTGCTGACAGGGACCAGTCGAATACTCCGTGTACGAGCAGCACGTGCAGTATGTTGGTATTGTATTGGAAGTGGCATTCGATTTAAAGGTGTACTTGGATTCCATACCACAATGATCGCACATGTTGGACGCACCCATTTTCCTCCCTCATTCATTCACTGGGGAGGTCGTTCCAGTACGGAAGTAACCCATTGTCTGGCAGTAGGGTTACATTGAACACTCGACCAGATGCATTGTTTATCCTCTTGATACATATACTCGATGCTCTAGCTTGATCAAAGGGATGCCTTGGTTTTATGCATGAAGATCGACCCTGTCTCTCCGGGCAAGATTGGGCACTTACCATCCAACTTTGCTGCAAGGACTCAGGATGTGACAGCTCACATCAATTTCATCATTCAACGTGATACCACTCGAGCGCACATTGGCCTTCCACGGGTCATGCCGCTTGAGTGGTCTTTAGCCTGGTGTTCGTTGGCGTGATTGGCAGTTCGTCGCTTCGGGACCTGGCAGTAATGAATGTGCTGCTATGACGAAGACGTGAACAGAATGCAGACCGTGTTTACAATGTGATGGTGAAAGAGACAAGTAGAGCGTCTCTACGGGTGACCTACCAGAGCCGCGTGCGGGCAAGCAGATTTGCAGCTATTACCTGACGAAAATCACGCAGTGTTGTGCTTAGACACATCCTCAAATCTCGAGCATGTGTGCCTAGGCCACTTGAAGGTCTCGCACGCCAACCTTCGAGGCCAAGCTGATCCAGCAGACGTTGGACGATGGCCAATGTCAGACTTCAYGCTGCGAATGTATGAGTATGCTGTGAGGCACAAGAATGCTGTCGTTCATACCGGTCGTTGATTGTGATGTAGGGCTTCTCCATATCATTCCGGCCTGCATCGGCCTTTCAACAGGCCCAGAACAATAGACGCAGCGTCTGCGTCATTATCACTGGGTATTGATTTTGCCCAGCGAGGCCATATCGAGGCAGACCAGGCAATCCGGCGGAGTCTCTCCAGCGACCTGGCCTTGCTCCGCCATACCAGACCGCCATGTAATCCAGAGTGCCTCCTGCTTGGTCCACTGCTTGTCACCCGCCGGAGCGCTTCGGGTTATGCATGCTTGATCCGCAAAGAGAGTCTCGCCTTTTGCCCAGCGTTCGATCGCTCTCAAATCCTCAATCCAGCTGATCCAACAGCTAATGATCCCTCATCCAATAACCATATCCCCCATTCAATGATTCCTAAAATTCTTCTTCTGATAAAACAGATCCGTCCTCGAACTCCCCAAATTGATAATCTTGGGACACCCATCCCGATCCTTCTCCAACCGCGTACACTCAAAACAGTAAAACGCATCCGAAATCCCTTCTCCACCGCACACCACACATTTGTTCTGGTAGTTGCCGAAAGCGCACTCGTCGCAGATGCGCACGAGAGTTGTGGGGCGGACGTAGGAGTCGCAGACGGGACATTTGCCGTCACATTTGTCGCAGAGGCGGCCGATGGAAATGCCGGCGGTTTTGCGGCACATGACGAGATCGCTGGGGTTTTTGTGTTAGAAAGTGATGATTGAGAGGTGGGTTTGGGGAATGGGACTTACGGATGATGACGCGACATGTTGGCGGTGGAGAGAGAGGATGTGTGTGGAGAGGATGAGTGGTGTCGATGTCTCGTGTAGGATGGTCTTTCGATTAGTTCTCGAAAGTTGAATGTTGAAGTCAAGGCAGGGATTTGTAAGCGCTACGGTGGTGTTTTAGCCACAGGGCTGCAACAATCCTATTTTTAGTATAGCACTACGCCGGCGGTATAGTAGTCCGAGCCTCGGTATTATATAGTTATCTCGGCCGTATAAATGCATGTTATTAATATAATAATGCGTATACGTGTATTACCTTTATTACTTAATATTATATACTTCTTATCTACTAAATATTAAAGTTACTCGCTTTACTACGTAACACTTTATATCCGGTATACGCACCTAACGTCTTATATAACCTATTATATAGGTAAAAGGCGTAACGGTAAGGTATAAGTATTTCTCTTTCCTTCTTATCTCTTCCCTTAGTATCTTACCTACTACTATACTATCTAATATATACTATCTAATATATTATCTACTACTTTTATACTATACCCTTACCCTTAAGCTATATAATAGTACGAGAGCCTAAGGTATTTAGCCCTAGCGATATAGACATTATAGAGCTTTAGTACCTACTAGATAATAAAAACCCCTTCTATACGCTAGTAGTATACGGAGATAATATAAGTACTTATAGACGGCGACGTTATATATACGGGACTAACCTATATAATAGCTTACGGATAGCGATATACGTATAAATGCCGCTTAGATTAAAATAATATAGGCGGATAAAGGATAAGACGTAGATATTAGGGCTACTTAGGATTAGAGAAAGTAGAGTACGCTCCGAGACCGTAAAAACTATATCGACTTAATACTTATTTAGAGCCGGTTAGTATAATTGCTTAAAATTAAGATCTAAGTAGCGTAGCTAACTAAGTTAAAGTAGAACTAAGAAGAAAGAAACCTATTCCGCCTACGAGGGTAGACTAATACTAAATACTAACTAGCGGCGGGCTAGACTCGGGCTATAGGAGGTTTATCTCCTCCTTTTAGCTATATAATATATATAAAATGCTAACGAATATAGGGTTATCGTATATAGGAGGAGGCGCTTAATAGAGCCTACGGAAATTGCATTTAGAATAGTATAAAAACGGCGTGTACTACGAACACCGAGAATACGCGCTACGTAATATACGCCCGTATAACTAATATAAGCTCTAACCCCGATATAGTAGGTAGTACCTAGTAGCCTTAGTACTCTAGTATACGGCTCCCTCGCGATACTAAGAATAAGGGAAAGAAGGTAGGTAGTAAGGCTTCTACGAGCAAATCTAGCGAGTAATAGAAGTTCGTAACCTCTTTTCCGGTAGTATAATAGTACCTTTAGTAGGTTAACTATTAAGAGCGAAGCTAGCTTCGTATCTTAGGATTTTCTCTTAGGTTTTTCTTCCTCTGCTTAGATATACTTTTTTTAGGGGTTAGGGACTTTAGGTTTACTAAGTATAGGCTAATACTCGAGATATATTATATAGCTATTTGCATTAGAGGGAGCGGCTATATATATATTAGGAATTTTAGCCCTTTTTACTTAATTTTTTATTTACTCTGCTTTATTTTAAGTATAAGATATTTCTAAATATTAGTCTCGTAGTCCTCTTAATATACTACCCTACTCGTTATATATTATGCGTCTACTTTCGCCGCGAGGAGCCTTATCTACGTATAAGAAAGTAAAGGCCCTAAGACCGTAATTTTATATACTATACTATAGGTAATAATACGTCGTTTATTACTTTAGTAAGTTACTTATCTAATTAGCTATAGGAGCCCTTACTTATAATTATATATACTAATATAAGTGCCGGGCTCTATATAAAGCCCTCTCTCTAAACTTCTTTATTCCTAACTATCTACCCCTATCTTACGGTATTTATTATATCTACTACTACTTTTATATTATATTAATACCTCTTCCTTCCTCTAAGCTACCTTATATAACGGGATTATAGCACGACGATTTAACCCTAGCAAACTTCTAGCGTTCTTAATTAATAATAATAATACTTACTATATTTAGCTCGACGCCCGCGGAAACAAGGTAAGAGTTAGATAATTAGATATAAGCTTTATAACGGCCGGACTAACTAGTATAAAACAGCTTAAAATATAAGGCTTCCCTATAACCGGCGAGCTAATTAAAGTAATAAATAAACGTACTAGGTATCGCTTCGAAGTTAAGGATTTAGAGTTCGACCCTAGCAAAACGCTTAAGTACTATTACTCTTATACGGTAGCTCTAATTATCTAGAGTCGGTTAGTATAATCGCTCGAAATTAATATCTAAGTAGCGTAGCTAATATATTTAAAGTAGGGCTATTTAGAATAATAATAGTCCGGATAGTAACGAGCGTTATTAGTTATACTAGGAGGGAAAAGGGTACTTTAAGGTTTATATCCTCTACCCTTTAGCTATATAATAATTTAAAACTAATAGGAATAGGATTATATAGTATAGGCGAATTACTTCTATAAGTATTACGGAAATTGCAAGTTCTAAGACTAAGCTAGCTAGTATAATAACGGCTAGCAGAACTTTAGCGACTTAAATTCGGAGACTAAGACGGTGCCGAAGTAAGCCCGTATAAGTAGAAGCAGTTCGAGAATAGTAAAGGCACTAGTATTAGCGAATAGTATAGTAGAGTACGTTTCCCCTCCGTCGCCGTAGAAGCTAGCGAAGAAGCGAGGCTCTTAGAAGAAGAAGAGCGCGTAATAAAGGAATAATTCTCTTATTACGGCGGTATAAAGGTACCTAAGTAGGATTTAGTTTTAAGTAGAGCGATTACTTAGTAAAATTCGGWTTTAATTCTTTTTRCTTTCCCTCCTCTAAGATAATTGCTTTTTAAAATTAGTC